CACTTTTATTTACTCATTTATTCAATTGTTTTTTTATAAGATCGCGCTTCTCATTGCAGATCTGACCCCTCCGCACCCTCGTGGGCCGTTTCGCACATGTGCTGTTTAAGGCTGTAGACTTATGTTGTTGCTGGGCATTCGAAGCCCCTCGAGGCAGATTCTTCTCAATAGAAAACACGTCCCTGTTACCTCCTCTAAGTTCCCCCACACGCCATGCTGGAAGAGTTAAAGTTTGCTACGTGCAGAGACCCTGTGGGACCTGTGTGCTCAGCTAGGGAACGTCTAGGGAACAGTTTGGCCCTCCTAGTCATATCCCTGTTGCACTCAGGAACTCGGAGCAGTGAGGAAAATCCTTGCACGTTCTCCTCTTAAGTTTTTATGTCCTCTACATTTTTATTTGGCGTAGAATTTACTGTTTTTTTTTCTTTTTAAGATTTTTTTTTTGTCCTGTTCTAACTAGTTGGAAAACTAGTAGAGATGCATTTTTTAGTGACTATTGGTGCTTAACTGTATCCCCTGTAATGAAAATTGCTTTGCACTGTTTATTAGCTCTTTCTAAACTGATATTTAAACTTTGTTAGCCAACTGAATACTCACGAGATTGTGCAAACACTCTGATTTTACTTCGCTTGGTTTTACAGCAATGGCTGTAGCTGCATGTACTCCCGGGAAGGAAATACACTTGTGTTTTGCCCTGCTGCACGCCCTCAGTCCTTTTGCTGATCTTTAAAAGACCTCAGACACTCGCCCAAACTTGCTTCTGCCTTTTCCCTTGCGTAATTTCAAAGATGTGAACAGAGCATTGAAGGGGCTAAATACTTTTAGCTGAAAAAGAAGTGTTAGGGGGATGAAAGTGAGCCTCTGATTTCTAATTTTCTCTGATAGTATGGAAGGCTCTGACTTGCAGGGTTATTTTTTGGTGTTTAGGTTTGCTTAATACTGGGGTGTGTATTTTATTGTGTGCAACAGGAGTATAAAATCTAGGGGTTTTCAAGTGTGAAACTTGATAAGTTTTATCATTATCTTTGCTCAGCTTACCTGTATTGATTTGAAAGATTTAGGTTTGGTCATGAGGATAATGTTGCAAGGATGATGTTTCCATTTAGTCATGGAAACGACTAAATGATGCTGAAATCTATCATGAAAATTTTCAGCTAAAAGTCTAATAGTTGTTCTGATCTTTTCTTAAAGCTGTGAATGACACTAATTTCTTGGGATGTCTTGAGTGTAGTGCTTGATTTCTGACTTGGTGTTAACGTTGCGTCAGACATCTTAAGTCTTTTATGTTTTCACATATTTGTTATCTGTATAGCTGATGCATTTCATTTTTCTCTAGATACTCATGAAGAATGTACAATTACGTGATTATATCTGAAAAGCTTGTTTCTTTCATGACTGCATAAATACATAAATATTTTAATATGAATCATTGAGAAAGGAGCTGGGTTTCAAAAACCTGCAGTTGAGTAGAGAAAACAAACAGCCTTTAAAAGCAAGGCACAAACTCAATTCAAGAACAGGGTTTGTTGCCTGTTGTTGCTTTTTCAGGAAAACTTTGACTTTTTGAATTTACCATAATCTGGTTCATTTGTAAAGATACCTTAGGTGAAAGGGAGAAAAAATGGATATAGAAATGATGATTGCAGTTCTAAAAAGTCAGAAAAGCAGCACTTTGCATCACTGTAATCAGTGGAAGTGTGGAGTCGTTACTACAGCAGGGTCCTCATAATTTCTAAAGCATAGCCATCTGAACTGCCCAGCTCTCACCAAGTTTCAACACAAAGGTTTATTTAAAATGTTTCTTTTGTGTGTGTTAGTTATACAGCTCAGTAACAGAGTTCTCATACAAGAGTAACTCATACGCTATGAGCATAGCTATTGAATTCAAGTACATAGCAAATTTTGCATATCTTTGCAGCACATTTAATCCCTGTAATCAAATACTGGTGTAAGGAATGAATTGGGTAACTTGCTTTGAGATTGTTCTGAAATTGCAAATCTAGATTCAGTGGATGATTACTGGATTGTAAAAGTATCTTTAAGAACTGGGAATAAAATTGTGTCTGGAAAAACAGTTTGAGAAATACTGTGTTTGGAAGTGTATAAATGCCATTTAAATTCATCTCATATAAAAGAATGGGTAAAATGGTTTAAAGCTGTAGCTATGGGATTTAGGGAGGTGAAGAGGACAGAAAAGGTTAATCAAGTTGTTCCAGCCTTGAGATGTTTCAAGGTTTCAGACTTAAAACAGCTGATACTGAGACCAGTTACTTGGAATTGCTCTGGAGTTTTAATCCTCCATTTTTAGCTTGAGCTTTTCTTAAATATATGATTGGGAGGTAGAAATTGATTTTGGACGTTTTTAGAGTTGGAAGGTTCTTGGTCTTTTTCCAACAGACCTAGTAAGCAAGCCAGACTTTGAAAAAGTCTTGCTATTTTAAAATTAAGTTATAACATTTTTTTTCAACAAGCATTAGACAGATAGATGTATCATAATTTCATAATGTTGGGCTTAGTTGAATATTAGCTATTAACACTTCTAAAAATCCTTGAATAATTACAGTTTTCCTCAGATATGCAGAGGAACAGCTGGTCCTAGGCTCAACTACTCTTGTCCGTTTAATGCTGTTCTTTCAGCTGTTACTTCTGACTTTCCTTGGACTGCTTGTTAGGAGAGCTAGGATGAAAACTCTTGAATTTATATTATGGCATAGATAGCGGCATAGATTAAGCAATATCAGCGTACCAGTGGCATGTAGAGAAGCTATTTGGTAGTAATTTCAGAAGATGCCTTTTTTTGCTCTCCTGCCTCTGATTGCAGCATCCTTTTTCTCTTTTGCAGTGCCATGTCCTGTCAATCTTACCCCCATCATTTCCCCATTCCAGGTTTTCGGCCAGTTTAGGGCCTGGCTTTGAGGTGCTGCTGGTGGCAGGAAAGAGGTGGGAGAGCAGGAGCAGGGCATAAGATGGATGGGATGGTCATCTTTGTGGCAGCCTGCCATCAGATACGATTAGATGGTAAATGAAACGGAGCCAAAGAGTTTAGCCTGTGCTTAGTTCTGGCTGCTGACCAAAGTCCATATAATACAGAAGTTTATCCTGTATTGAAGGAATGCTTCTGGAAAAAAGAATGCTTCTTAGCTTGGAGCTAAGTAAAGGCATAAATATTGCAATACACAAAAGGACTGAAATTATTTCCATAGCCAGCAATTATTTTTAATTGTATAATTGTTTTATATGAGGAACATACCAGGATAATTGGCCATTTTTAGGCATTTGTGCTTCTCTTAATTTATTGGACACATGTTCCAGACTAATAAGAAATAATTGTTTCTAGGGTTGAAATAAAAGAATGACATTTAGTTTTGTTTTGAACCATCAGTTCTGTTTTGAAGGAGAAAAAGTTTTCAGCCAAGGAGGCAGCTTGTACTTGGAGACAGGATGGGTAGGAGACGTGCGAGAGCCCAAGTTCCAGATGAAAGAGCCAAGCGTGCGTTGTGTCACACGGAGACAAGCATGGTAGATGTGAGGTTCTATAACGGCTTTTACAGTGAATTGCATCATGCTGTTTTCTGCCGCAACAGAAACCTGAGATTGTCAGTGGGATTTGAATTTCTACAGAACATGACTTGTGTTTTGGTAATTTTTTTTTCTCCCCCCCCCCCCCTTTCTATTTTGCTGTAAAGCATGGGAGGCACAATACCGCCTGCTCCAGCCAATGCCTCTGCAGAGGAGACAAGTAAGGTGAGACATGGAAAACTTATAATTGAAAACTAATGTTTGATCTTTATGCAAAAATGTTGGAGAGGGATGAAAACTGACAGTAAGTTTTGGTCCTTTCCTTCAAGTAGGAGGGGTGAATGTATATGAGTGTGAAATGAGTACTAGATTGTGACAGTTCAAAGACGGCAGCCTGCATGTTGTATGGTCTGCGTGAGGTCTTGTTGCAGATTCAGGCAGTCTGGGGTGTATCAGGAGTTACCATGCTCCATTTCCCTTATCCTGAATGTCAGATGTTCTCTGAAGTGCAAGTGCTAGGCAAAAAAAAAAAATCTTGATTTTTTGTGCGCTTGTTTGTCTGTAAATGCGCCTTTTCTGTAGCCATTAGGAGTGCAAATTATAATCTGTGTGTGACAAGAAATACTAGCCAGCAGGACAGGTAATGAAGGGAACAATTAACTCAGCTTTTTCAGCTGGAATTGTGGAAAGCATATTTTTTGAAATGTGGGTTGGGTGTCCTTTGTTTTTAAAGGAGGATAATCAAGTGGGCTTGTAGTATTTATGAGAGATTTTTCCCAAGATTTAAATCCTTCTTGGAGAAAAAAGAAGAAAACTTCTTGTTTGGAGTTTAACAGGACTGAAGATGTTGGAATTACTGGCTAGTTAGAACTGTTCCAGGAAATGTATGTATAGGAATTACAAATTGTGACACTGACTATAAAGACAAATAGTTTGTCTCTGGTAAAGGAAGCTGTATTATGTGAGGGGATTCAGAAGAGAATAGTAATATGGTTAGAAATCAGTTGGAAACATCTGAAGAAGCATTCTAAATAAGTGGCACAAAACATCTGGCCTTGCCAAATGTAGACAATATTGTAATCATTGGGACCTGCTCACTGCTGAAGACTCTAGCTTCATAGGATTAGATGAAGAGAGTTTTTGATGCAGGTAATGTGTCAGAGAGGACAGGAATATTGGAAGAGCCAGTTAGTACTCATTGCAAGACCGCTTCTGAATTGGGTGTTATCTGTATCATTTTGGTCGTTAAATTACACATTTTGGGTGACAAGCTTTACCAACAGTTGAAGTTCACGCATCAAGGTTTGGGCTCAAAATTATTTTTGTGTTTGACAGACTTAAGCTCAGAGTGAGGAAAAGAGAGCTACGTATCTTAAAAATATTTAGTCAGAGAGCAATTATCTGCCTTGAAGATACATGCTGGATTTTTCTGATGCCTTATTCTTAAGTGGGAATAAAGTCATTAGTCAGAAATAATGTATGTTTATATTTTTCTGTTTCAGGGCAAAGCAGAAGAACAGCCAGAGGAACCAGTTAAATCACCGGAGCCAGAAAGTGAAGAGAGTGACTTAGGTGTGGAAGATAGATGCTGTTACCACAGTACACCAATTTGAACGTAGTTCTGAAAATCCCCTCTCCGTTTGTGGATGGAGCTGAATTTTGCTTTTCATTTTTTCCCCAGAAATTGACAACGAGGGTGTGATTGAACCTGATAATGATGACCCTCAAGAAATGGGAGATGAAAACGTGGAGGTAAGTGTGGTACTTCTAGTGTCTGGGGTAGTAGAGAAAAGGGAGAGAGATTCTCAACCAGGTCAAGAATAGTAACTGGAGCTGGTGGAAGAAGAGGAGGAATAAGACTACATGATTTAAGTAGGCAGTCATTGCTTTACTTCTTCTTTACCCAAGTAGAAAAATAACCAGCCTAAATCTGAGTTCTTTACCTTATTAAAAGATGGAATCCATCAAAGAGTTCAGTGGGGAAAAACCAGGTTAGAAATCCACCAAAATTACCAAAGCACCAGAGAAAGTGTACAGTGAAAGCAAAAAAAAAAAAAAAAAAAAATTTTTTTAAACTAAATTTTTTTCAAATTTAAAAATGATTTTAAAAAAAAAAAAAAGAGGAGGAGTCAAATAGAGCTCCCTTCTTTGGCATTATCTCAGCTTGGTACTTTTGACCTGGACTCTATAAATTTAGGGTTGGTTTGTTTTCTAGGTAACTGAAGAGATGATGGATCAAGCTAATGAGAAGAAGATAGAGGCTATAAATGCTCTGGGTGAAGGTGATTTTTTTTTTTTTTTTTTTTGAGTACGTGTGTGACTTGAATGCTTTCCATTAGGAGAAAGCCCACTACCCTGTAGTTAGGAAAAAACTTTTGTTACCGGACTGTGATTTTTCTGTTGAATTTTGAATACTGTGTCCATTACAGGACTTCTCTACATGATATGATTTAGGTTTTTAATAATTTGTATTAACTTGATAGGAAGCTTTGTAAAGAGGTGTTTTCTGCTTGACAAAGTGCAAAGTCAAATGCTCAAATTTAACTAGGAAAAAGTTGTTTGCTTGTTTCCTTCCAGGCAGTAATTCTGGGGTTTGTGTTTGCAGTTCAGTTATAGAGATTGTAGAAGGGGGGGAAAAAAAAAAAAAAGAATTTATTTATGTTGATAATGCTCTATTTAAGAAACGTCTAAAGGCATAACACCCTGTGAGGTTGGTTTGGCGATATGGATTTAGCTTCACTGTGTAATGACTTAAATTTTACCCATGTTCCTGTTCAGGTGAACTTCAGAAGGCTGTCGACTTGTTCACCGAAGCCATCAAGCTGAATCCTTGTTTGGCCATCCTCTATGCCAAGAGGGCAAGGTGAGTGATTATAAACTAGTGATGTATGTTTCTCCTTGCTCTGTTACTGCCCTTGAAAAGCTAAAGCATAGTGGAAGGTTAATTAAATTAAATCAGATTAGGAAAAGAGAAGAATACACTTAATTGCGTATAAAAGGAGTAATATGAACTAGATTTTTTTGAAGAAACCATCTAAGAATTTTAATTGTTGAAGTATGTTCTGAAATGCATTGTAGTAATTAATGTCTTTGGTGTGTTGAATTAGAAAGATGCTAAATAACAAACACTTGAAGCATCTAAAGATCCTTTCAGGATTAAGATGTTGATGGTAATTGCATCTAGTCTAGACAAGAAGTGAATTGTTCTGTGTGAATTCTCTTGCTGATATTGAATAGCTTGTTGACATATTGTTCACCTATTTATTTCTAGAAGGAAAGATATGAATATATATCTAAGTAGCTTTAGTGATGAAATAACTTCTAATGTATCAGTAATTAGACTACCTTTATTTCAAGTAAATATAGCAGGACAGAAGTTCTAACTTGGAGTATATTGGATTTTGTGGATTTTTGAAGCTTGAGTACTTCGTCATTGAGGAATGCTTTTTAGGGCTTCCTGGAAGAGGTTTTTATTCAGCATGAGAGGATTGTGCGAAATATCTGAACGTTTTTCTCTGATAGCTAATTGGATTTGCTCAGATACAATAAAACTTGGAATTACTTCCCTTAACTGGGAAGGGAACAGGGCTACCTTCTGTAAGCCTCAGTGCCACATCTGCTATTGAGGCATTTGTTTTTGAGAATGGCAATTGAGAATAAAACCAGTGCTTTAAGCAGATACTATGAGAATTGGAGCTAATCTTCAATTTGCAAGCACTCCCTTAAAATTAGTAGTTGAGGTTTTATTGCTTTTCTTGGGACACTTCTCAGTTCTGTTTAACTTCTTTGAGGTGAAGGGATAGGACTAAGATTTCACACAGTATTCAGGCTGAGGCCCATTGCAGATTTATACAGCAGCACAACAGTGTTATATTTTAGTTTCTTTCTTGATTGCTGATCTTTGGTTTGTATGTGTTGACTTCTGTGCATTGAGCAGGCTGCAAGAAATTTGTGGGATGAATGAGAGAAGCGTTAGAAGGAAGGCAATAAATAGGCCATGAGAGACTTCAGGGTGAGCAGCTTAGAGAGGAACTCATTTTTATGGCTTATTAGACTAGATGATTAAGCAGTTGCTCTTTTTCTGTACAGACAACTTAAAACAGATGTGTTCTTGCAGTTCCCGATAGTTCTAAACATCAATCCTTGTAGCACATATGAAGGTTTATGCTTGATTTCTCATTTTGTTGTTTTAAAGACTTTGTAATGGGAAATGCATATTGTTATCTGGATTTTGTTCAGCTGGTTCATCACCATTTGTTATAGAGTGCATAGACCATGAAATTGAACTCCTTTGCATTTATTTATCCTCTCCTAATGCACCAAAGTTGCTCTTGCTGGTGAGGCTTGACTCTTAACATTGAACTTCTGGCTAATGATTCACCTACTGGGGGAAAAAATGTAAATTTCAGTAACATTGCTCATCACAACAAAATCTTCTTGAATTCAGCTCTTCAATTACTTCTTTGTAGCTTGCTTGCCTGTTAAGCTGGAAATATTTTTAGATACCTAAGTTAGTAACTTGGTATTTAAATATATACAGTAAATGTTCTCATTCCCACAGTGTTTTTGTGAAACTACAGAAGCCAAATGCTGCCATTAGAGACTGTGACAGAGCCATCAAGATTAATCCGGACTCAGCACAGACCTACAAATGGAGGGGAAAAGCGCATAGGTGATGAACTGTAACTGTACTTCATATCCTCTTCACTTACTTGTGGGGAGCTGTTTTATGCCTTCTGTCCCGTATTTCTGTGTGGCATGTAATTTCTCAGTCTTGTACATGAGAGTCATCATCACAATCCAAGAAGCCATTGTGTTAAGTGTATGTGTTAATGAATTACAAGAAAGAAAGGATGATGGTTTGGAAATAATCCTTTTGACATTGCCTTTTTTTCCCCCCTCTTACAGGCCCTCAAGTTGTATCACCATTCTGTATAGCATCTTCTGCTTGATAAAGATTGAGATCTAGGGCTGTAAGATTTATTTGTCTGGGCATATTTTTGTTTTGTTTTAGTTTATACTTACTAACCTGTAATTCTAAGCATTGCTCAGCTGCTCTTATTCCATTGAGTCCTGAAGTACTTGAGCAATAAACTGAACTGCCTGTGTATTTAGGGAACTGTGTGTAGGTGACAAGTAATAGTAGTACACAGGGTAATTGCCAAAAGTGGAATTAGGCTGGTGTATCCCCTCCAACTGCATTTAAAGACTTTTTTTAAAAATCACAATAAATAGGCCAAAAGTAATACAATGACACTTCTTCCAGACTGTAAAAGTGAAAGAAGTGAGCATTAATAGAACTTTAAAACAAACAAACAGAAACTATTTTAAGTAGTGATCAGAGAGTAGTTTATTAATGTCTATAAATTGTAATATGTGGCATGGAGATTAATGCTGAGAAGTCTAGAGCATAGTTTAGTTTAACAGCTTTATCTGTAAGCAAAAGAGTTTCGACTCTATGCGGATTTAAGCAGAATATCCTCTGCTTAAATATTTAATATTGTCTGAAGAGATATTGGAATAGTTCTGTACAGTTGCTTTTGGGACCTCTTTAAGATGTGGTGTATTCCTACAGTTAGTGGGGGTGCTTCAGTTCTGAATAAACAAGGTCCACTTGGGCTTGGTTTAGCAGTGGCATAGACTTGTGAGTAGACTCAATATGCAAGGAGTGTTAATGTAACAGATTTCAGCAACAGGTTTCAGCAGAGGAATATTGCTGTTTTAAGTGGTAGTGTATCTATCAGTGTACTTCATGTGTTTAGGGAGAGTACTTTCTTGTTAACAACTGTTTTTATAGTAAAAATGGCACTATTGCACTGTTTGATTTAGTATTATTATTTTGCTTGAAGCAAAGGTTACTGTAAGGGTATGAAGCAAGTAAGTATCCTCTAATCTAAAGTATCTTCTAATATACTCTATTAGTTACAGGAAAATTCCGTAATTATTAGCAAGAGCTGAGCTTCAGTAAGGCCGTATAGTTTCAGTGTATGTATATGGCTGTAAATACTTTGAAGAATAGCAAGAATTCAGCCTACTTCCCCCACCCTGTTCTGAATGTTGGGATCTTCTCATTTGCAGACTTCTGGGTCATTGGGAAGAAGCTGCACATGATCTTGCCTTGGCTTGTAAGCTGGATTATGATGAAGATGCTAGCGCAATGCTGAAGGAGGTGCAACCCAGAGTAAGTGGGGAAGGATGAAGTTGGTCCCTTGTTGATTTGTGTTTGAAAGGCATTGCTGCCTTCAATTTTTCCAGTGAATATATTGTCTTGTGGGAATGTGGGGTGGTTTATATGTCACCTGACACTTCAAACTTAGTTTATAAATACTTGATGTCTTAAATCACAGCTGTTTATGGCTATGTGTAGAGAAATTTGATCTCTGAGGCTATATATGTAGCTAAACTGTGAAATAATGTGTTAGTCTCTTTAAATTTAAAGATCTCAGGTGATTGAAGTTAAGCTGGTGTTTCATAATCTTGACTGAAAACATTGAGAAGAGCAAGAGAGCTCTTACATAATGGACTCCCTCTGCCTGCCTCAGTGTTTCTGAATTGAGTATCAGAGCTTCATCTGAAGCAGGATGCACAAAGGAAGCTTTGTGGTTAATGCTTTCAACAGCCTGCCACATGAGGGCAGCACAATCTGTGGAAAAACTAGTTTTCTGTTTAAGTGGTGTTCTTCTTCGCAGCATTTTTTAAGGAAGAACTTCTGTGTAACAAATGTTAAGATTTTTTTTTCCCCTCAAGCTTTTTAATATACTCCATTGAAGTGTCTCACTGACCGCTTAGCAACTATTGCATAAACATTCCCGTATATAATAGTTCTAGTTTTCCTACCATGTTTTTGTAGCAGATGCTCCCTGTAAAACAACAGTTCAACCGTCTTACAAATTAAGTTTTCCATACTGAAAGTGACTTACCCGATTTACTTGATTTCAAGTAAATTGACAGTCAACTCAAACTTGAAGGTTTACTTGATTGTTGGTTGAAGTGGAACTTCTTATTTCCCAGCTAATCTGCCTGTGCACAGAAGAATCATCTTAAACATGATATGTGCTTGCCAACTATGTGGGAATAATTGTATGTGACTTGAGGAGGAGAAAGGTTTTTTGGGTACTCGTCAGTAAAAGTGTGAATAATATGTTTGCTTAATGCTTAGCTTTTGTGTACTCCCTCATCTTTAGAAATGGTCATCTGGAAGTGCTAGAACTTTTAAGACTTTGATCTAGTTCATCTTGAGAAACACGTATACACTGTAAAAATTAAAACTTTGGAGACTCTTTAAGTTTCTTTCATATTTTTTCTCTAGAAATTAAGTCATTTCATGGTCAGAAACTTTTTATTAAAACTTTACTACTTACAAAAATCTTTTCTCCTTTTAAAGGATATTCTGAAAAGATAGAAGAATAGTCATGTGGAGGAGAGGTTTCTAGCCCTGATTTGTACCAATAGGGTACATCATCTACAGTGTTGTCCATTAGAGCTCAGCAACTTGTGAAATAAACAACTGTTTTTTGCAGTACTGTATAAGGGTACATTCTGGTTTCAAAAGAGCATATTCTATTAAGAACATGAACTGAGTGAGGAGCTCTGGTTTCAAAAGAGCATATTCTATTAACATGAACTGAGTGAGGAGCCTTAGGGAGATGACTCCTCCACTGGGACTGTCAAGTCAGTGCCTTTGAGAATAAGCTAATGCTAATAAGCAAACTTTATCCCCACCTGCCCTATTTGAAGTGAATACCTTTGGTTCAGTTATTCTTTCTAGATCTACTTGTGCTTAGTTGTATGTGCTGCAGCACATCTGGAACAATACTAACCCTATCTGAAAAGGGAAGAGGAAAGTTATTTTTCCTATTATTGTGCCAATGGAAATTTCCCTGTTCCAGTAGCAGTATTAGCCCTGGAGGAATTTATATTTCAATGTATAAACAGGAAGGTGTGTGGAAGTTTAAGATGCTTAAGTTCTAATTATGGCGTAAATCCTTGAGCTCTATGGGAGGGAAAAATGCATGGTAGAGTGCATGTTCTCATGAACCCAAGTAACACCTGTGTTTGGGTGATAAATGACTGTGGGCTAGGGAGAAAATTGTAAATGGTTCCTAAAACAAAGAGATTCTAAAGATGTGAGATCATAAACATTATTTTTAAGAACTGATTAAAAACAGATTGTTAACATACTTGATATTATATATAACTAAGCTTATGTACAGTATACTAGAAATGGACGTGAACTGTGACATTGTATTGTAACAGGCTCAGAAAATTGCAGAACATCGCCGAAAATATGAGCGGAAGCGTGAAGAAAAGGAAATCAAGGAAAGAATGGAAAGGGTGAAGAAGGCGCGCGAAGAGCATGAGAGAGCGCAAAGGGTGAATATTTAGACTTACAGTATGTCTTAATCTACTGGAGAGTGCCATGGTTATTTTGGTTAGAATGAGTTGCATGTATGAAAATCATTTTAAGTTTGAAGAGTCGATTTCTGTCTTTACCAATAATGAAATCTGAAGAGAATTTTATACTGCTTCTGTTTTTTATGACAAAAACAGATCCTAGGTCTCTGCTAATGCTGTACTTTTAACAGTTCATTTATTGTATAGCTGATTAGAAAAGCTTTTGCTTCAAGTACTTGTTTCTCGGGTCAGGGGAGGTGAAATTCAGGGTAGTCCTTTGTTTTCTTCCTTACATTCTGACACACAGTTTGCTATCTTGTTTCATGCCATACTGATATGTTTTACAATTTGTAGGGGGTGGTGGGTGGGAATTGACTTTATCCTTTTAGGGCTAACACGCTGGAACAAACTATATAGCTCATCTTCAGTTAAAAAAAAAAAAAAAACACACAACATACCTACTGTTGCTCTAGTATATTTTTCCCAGATATCACTGTCTGTAGTTTTATGTAGTCAAGCGTTTTTTTATATTGATACATTCTACATGCCTTGAAACGGTCTCAGCTGTGTCTTTCTTCCTCAAATCATATAAGCAGTAGAAAACAGGCTATAGTTCTACTGCTTTCTGTAGAAAAAGGCTGCAATCCTGTTACTTTCTCTGGAATGATGTGCTTTTGTCTGCAGGAGGAGGAAGCAAGACGACAAGCAGGAGGAGCTCAATTCGGTGGTTTTCCAGGTGGCTTTCCAGGTATTTAATTTTTAAGCACTGATAGCTGAGGTGGAGGTAACTGGTCTTCCCATAAAGGAGCTGGCCTTCTTTTATTTATTTACTTATTTATTTATTATCACCACAGTCTATATAGCTTTTCTTCTCAAGGCTGAGAGAAAAATGTGTGAAGTTTAGAGCTTGTCTGCAGATGCTTTCTTTATGTAGTCGTGGAAAGTAGGATGGGATTTTTTTTCCTCTAACTCTGATTCATGCTGCTTTCAATAAAGATTATTGTTGGATTCAGGTCTGAGAAAACAAAGATGCCATGTTTGCTTCATCATGCATGATGAAAAAAATGGCTTTTTTCCTGAATTATCTGGGGCAGCTTGAACTCTTTCTGCTTAAGAACAATAGTATTGAAGTAGAAAATTTGGGTTGAAATCTTAAGAAATTTGTGCTGTTCTGCAAGCTGTGTCAAACAAAATCGTTTATCAAAGGAGATAGTGCAGCCCACCCTATAGAAGACAGCAACTTTGATACTATCGAGAACTGTTCTTGAACAATTTTGTGGAAAGGAGGCCTTCCATGATATTCTTGATTCTCTCTACCTCGCTGAACCTGAAAATAAGCACCAGTGCTCTTGAAGACTTAAGCACACCTGTGGGGCAGGAGACTATATTCACCGTTTTTCAGAGCAGCCTAAATGTATGGGATTTTCAGGCCTAAGATGTACTATTAATTTGCTTTTGCCCCAAGCTCTTTACCCCTTGCAGCTGGTTTGTTAAGTTAAACAGAAAGTAACTCCATCTCTGTTCAAGATGCTAGGATTTGACACTTGTTGTAAATCTCCCCTTGAATTAAAAATATGATCTGAGTGAGATGCAGAAAGAGCAGGTAAAACCCCTGCTTTCCATTTAGTGCAGCAGCTGTAGCCTTGTGGAAGATGCAGTTTTGGAGCTGTGATAAAGGAGTATGTCTTGTGCACTCTGCATGAGCTCATGGTTAGATGAATTAATTCCATGGTGAATTCCTATTGTCTTGGATTTGCAGGTGGATTTCCAGGGGCTACGCCTGGAGGTATGCCAGGAATGGCAGGCATGCTAGGTCTCAATGAGATCCTCAGTGACCCTGAAGTCCTTGCAGCCATGCAGGTGAGAATTCGATAAACTGAAAGCTAAGTGTTGAGAATGAGGGGAAAGACAACCCATGAACTAAGGGAAGGAAGGAAGATGTGACCATTTCGATAACAATAGAATACTTTGTTATGTCTGTTGTGAAATTCTCTCCTGGTAGGTGGCACCAGACAGTCTGGAATGAATTCTAGCTGTTTTTGCAAATTGGCAGTCCTTAATTAAATGTCCCTTCCCTTCCTCCCCCAGTTCCCCTCAACACTGTACTTGCAAACAATAGAGTTCTTCAGCTCTTTGGGTATTCTGGATGGTTGTCTTCTATGGAGTATTGACAGCCTTACTTAGGCTGCTTTGTTTTTGAGTGCATATGCACAAATGAAGAATGATTGTTAATATTATTGCAGCACAATATAATACAGTTGTGCTGACATGAGAATTGCCTTTGTCTTTAGAGAATAGAGTTTTGTGTTCTTGGTGGGTTTTGTTTTTGTTTTTGTTTTTTTTCCTTTTTTCCAAAGACAAACTAGTGTTGGATTATTTTCACATTTAGTATTTTCAAAATCCATCTTCAGAAACTCACTCCCCTGGTGGGCTTGATCAATTGCTGAATTAATTGCTCAGTGTCATAATTAGCTTCAAACAAGAACAGTATAAAGCAGTTTACGGTGGAATGTATCTGACAGCATCAGTTTCATAGAAAAAATCTGAAATATGTAGTTATATTTACATACTAATATGGTCAAAAAAGTGTCTTTTTTCAGTCACTTTTTTTCAGGATTCCTTCAATTAAGCTAAAGTTTCACGATGTTCCAAGGTCATCAAATAGATGATAAGCATATACAGTTTTTCTGCACTTCTAAAGAGAGTAGCCAGGAACTATTATTTCACGTGCCCCCAAATTGTGAAAAATGCAACACTTCGTCTATAAAAGTACATGACTTTTCTTGATGTTTGCTGGTGTTTGGAAATACATCCTTACTTAGGCTTCTACATTCTGTAATAATGACTTTCATCCAAACCATCCAAAAAAGAAAAAGGACTTATTAATTTACCTGGATAGATAACACTAAGACACTTTCCAGGTAACACTTATCTGGATAGCTTACACTAAGATATAGGCATTTTAAATGAGTTAAATATTAACTGCTTGCAAAATGCCTTTGAGCTGCATTGCATGCTGATGTGTACCCTAAAACGCTGTAGTCTCTTGCACGATCATGTGGTGAGAGTATTTTCTTAAACCTCTGGAAGTTTTTAGATGTCCTGTTTCTCTGGATATGACATCACATTTCTGTTTGAGATCACTCATGGGTTAAATATAAATCCTCTTCAATAGGAGTGACGTAAAAGATGACCCTGTGAATTACTTACTTGCTGTGTAGTTGCATATTGGACACAGGCTTCCACAGAAGTGTATGCATTAGGGAAAAAAAAGTGGTAACTGTTTTTCCTTGAAAGTTTTTTTTTCAGCCTTCTGCAACTAAAGACTAGAGCGTTAGAAAACTCCGCACATTTCACTAATGCTATTCACAGAGTTTGAAAGCTTGATTGTATATGTATTGTTTATAGTTTAAAAAAAAAATCTATAAACAAAGTTTAAGGCTGAGGACTTTCAAGGAGAGATACATAAGTGCAGAATAACTTACAGTCCATTCATAAGACCACAAAACATCTAGCATGGAATTGAGGACTTAACACTAATTTAGGTGTGCTTTGTGATCCAGTGACTGAGAGTATTCTGCTTTGTGTTCTGAATTCATGTGTAGGTGGAGAAACAGACTTAGCAAAAATGACTCTTTAGAGTTATATGCCTAGCTTTGGAATCGTGAATTTGAGAGGTTTGGATCTGTGAAAGTTTTGTTTCTATCTTTACACAGGAATCCTATTAAAAAAGTTAGTGCCTGTTTTCTGAACTTGAGCATTCTTGTTTTTGTAGACTATGCAGATTCCCCTTTTGTGGGGGAGCAATAGCACTTGTGAATGCCTCTAACAAAAGATAAGAGTAGACTCTCTCAGCTCCTAACATGTACAAAACATGACTGAACCATAACAGTGATTTTGGTGGGGGACACGCCTTCCTAACTCTGCCTGGGATCAAATTTGCTAAACAGCTTTTGTCTGTGACTGGTCCTGGAAGAGATACAGGGTGGTGTTACTGTAGCGCATGCAGCTCTGAAGACAGCAGTTGGTTTTGGATGTTCCCAAAGAATTTGTGTGGGGGAACAGTGGGATAGAAGTCAGAAAGATTGGGTCTGTCACTGGGAATATTCAAATGCACTGGAATGAACAGCAAATGAAAACTACAGTTAATCTAGATGATCCGTGCTGGACAGAATACAGTGCTTACATTTTAGCTGGGTTAAAATTTAACTATTTTATGCGCAAGTTGTTTATAGTGGAAACACGTTTGCAAGATGAGATGTACAACCAGTCTATACAGATTATTTATTAAAAAAGCACAATTCAAATCATTCATGTGTAGAATGGATTTAAAAAAAAATCTGCTGTAATTCAGAAAAGGCCAAAGGGTGCTAGCAGTACTCAGGTTCTCTTGCCTCCTCTGGAATGCATTTGAAGATGCTTGAATAGAAATACTGCAGCAAGTATGTTTTTGGGGAAAAAGGAATTGTCATTCTACCTCCCTTCTCACATATAGCACTATGAGTGTAGCAAATTCAGTAATGACTTGAGTGTTTGGTGATGAAATGTTAACAGCATGCACTATGTTGCTAGGTGTCTTGAGAGACCTCTTATCTAAAACTCTTGTCTTGGCATGTTAACAACTGAGCAAGACTAGACTCATGTTGAAATTCCATGACTACTAACTTTTGTAAAGTTCCTTTATAAATGCTTATTTTTTTTTTCTTTGCCTGCAGGATCCGGAAGTTATGGTTGCATTCCAAGATGTTGCTCAGAACCCAGCAAATATGTCCAAGTACCAGAATAACCCGAAGGTCATGAATCTCATCAGTAAATTGTCTGCCAAATTTGGCAGTAAACCATAAAACCCCTGGTTCATAAAAATCATACCTGAATGGGAAGGATTGATTTGGCTAACCAGTGTTGCAATAAAACAAACCATTTTACCTCTAATCCTCTTAAGAAGAGAAATGGGGTGCTCTAAAGAGAATTGTTCTCTAGCCCCATGTGTTGAACTTCTAATGATTGGTTTATAGCACTCAAATTACATTCAGAAAACAGACACTTTCAACCATCCCTATTTGCCTAAGAGTCTTGAAACTTTCATTATAAGTATTAAAGACAGTTTCCTTTGAATGAAGACTCTTTCAAGAAACTGTAATATTCTTGGAGTGTAAGATACAACCTCTTGCTGCCTTCTTTTTTTTTTTTTTTTTCTCTCAGCAAAGAGGAACGAACTTTAACAGTTGAAATCTGTCTTACCCGCTTAGGACAGACTAGTTGACCTTGTTATAAATAGCAAAGGTGAGACAAGTGTGAAGAATTAACTGGATAAAGGAATTGTCTGCAAAAACAAGTCCTTATTTTTTTAAATGAGTAATTGACTTTATATAGCTATTAAAATGATATAACCATGCTAGTTACTTATACACTGGAACTTCTGGCAGTACTGCAAATAATTCATATTGATTACCACAACTGTGCAGCAAAGGTGTAGTCCAATCCTTTGCACAACCTGGCATGGAATATATATTGCAGATGCCACAGAAGTTTTGCTTGTTCAATTCTTGTCCAGCACCTTTATGTAATACTTTATCAAGCTGGGTGCAGAAGAGCAGCTTAGAGTCTGTACTTGCGTTCTTCTCCCTTCCCGGTTAGCAGGTCCTGAACTGGTTGCGCTCGCCTTTCCTTGGGGCTGTGCTTACCAGGCTTCATCTAATTGGAAATTTTAGGGAAGGGAATCTTGTTCCTGTCACTACCTCTGTCCCGTTGATGCAAGCCATCCAGAACATGTAAATGCAGAGTTCTAAATTGGTTAAGGGGAGAGCACCCAACAAAGTTGCAGCTCTGGTTTCTTAATGAATTTGAGTTCTTAATATGCTTGCAGGCAAAATTCCTTGGCCAAAGTTAATGGGTTTTCTTTTTTCTTTCTTTTCTTTTTTTTTTCCTCCTCTTAATCCTGCTGTCTGTTTAGAGATGATCACTCTTCCTTTACCGCATGCTATAGTCTTCCATCTTTTTTTGTATCCCCCCCCCCCCCCGCTTTTTTTTTTTTAAAAAAAAAAAGGAAAAAAGGCCTTTTTTTCTTTTTTTTAAAAAAAAAAAGGAAAAAAGGCCTTTTTTTCTTTTTTTTAAAAAAAAAAAAAAAGGCCTGTTATCCTGATTTTGTACTTCAATTCATTGTCATACAGAGAAAAAGGTGAAGGAATAGGAGCAGATAAACATGCTGGTATTGGTGAATTAACAGCATGGATATCCTTGAAAGAGCATGTCTGTGCTGATTATGTTCAGTGGATTTGACTACCAATAAAGACAGTTGTTGCTTCTGTTTGTTTTAGCTATAACATTACACAATAACCTTCTATGGAGAAATTATAATCAGTTGTTCACCACTTAAGTCTCAATTTATGTTGCTCTCTTGTAATTCTGTATCTTAAGCCATAACTGATGTTACTGTTCCTAATTCAGTCTGGAAATCAACAAAAAGTGCAGAAAAATCCCCAAATGCTTTTTTTTTTTTTTGTCATACTGATAACCCTGCAGAATGAAATGTGAATCTTTTTGCTTAAGAAATAGAGTTCTGAATACTTCTAGACGCCTTTAAAAATAAAGTATGGTTTTGAAAAATAAAACTTTCTGGGTTTGTGTAAATTACTGGTCAAACCTATTCAGTTTTAAACTTAAGTCATTCATGTGGGAATACTTTGAACTGTCTATACAACTTGTGATTTAAATCAGAATGAAATGTTTAAGGGCTTGTCTTCATGACAAAATGAACTCAAGTTATGATCTGTGTTGCTTTGTACCTGTTTTTTGATTACACTTTGATCTGCAGTTCCTGTAATGAGATGTTTACACTTGAAATAGGTCACCCCTTGGTGTAGGTTGAAACTCCACTTCTGCTTTATTCGGGCTGGTCTGTATGTGCTGTGAATAAGCTAGAGTAGCCTTAATACAGATTAATTCCCTATTCTTTCCTATTAATCCATTTTAGCTATTGGTGTCTGTCTATATGAATCTGGTCAAAAGTAGGAAGCTGCCTGCAGCTATTATAAATGGTCACCTTTGTGTCCTGCCTCATTACTTATGTATCAGGAGCACCTGTTCAGAGCCCACTGACTTGAGACACATGTTCTCCCTTAACTTTGGTGTTAGTTTTAGCTGTCTAGGTGAATTCTTGTGGCTCTGTGGGAATGCACATCCCGTGACTCCTTCAGTGTGTGGAGGTTGGGGAAGGAGGGAAAGGCATGTTTTTAATGCTATCCATTACATTAATTGAAGAGATCTTCAGTCCATTTTGATTTCCCCAAGCTGCCGTATGGACATCTAAGCAGCTGAACTGGTTTGAGCAGAAGTGCAAGCCTGGACAGTATAATTGCACTGGGGACCAGCAGAGATTATAAGAGCCCCTAATGTAGGGTATATGTAGCCGTAGGAGGAAGTTGCTGTGTTCATCAGTGTTGGCTGCAACTATGTACTGGCAGCTCCTTCAGGTTATGTGTTTCCACTGCAACAGTAGGGATTATTTGTAAAAGTACAGTGGCAATGATCAATTTAACTCATGATTTGGTTCCAAAAGACTGAGCTGACAGTGCTTCGGGTGATCTGAGGGGCTGTATCGTGCTCAGATGTGCTTTTCTGTCATTTGAGACAAGTTATGCAATGCACTGTTTGGCTTATCCTAGGCCATGGGTGAGGTGAGCTGTTACACCAGAGGTTAGGATAATACAGCTGCAGTTTAAGAGCACTGATTGCAAAGGGTGGTAAACCTTGTTGCATTATATTATTTTGAGTCAGTCACCATCCTTTCAGGTTCAACTGCTGTCCCAAGTGCTGATAACAAATGTTGGGTTGGATGCTACTTCTCAGACTGTACTTTACTGTGTCTCAACATTTTTTTTAGAAATTCAGACTTTCTCTTAAGTTCTGGACTCTGGTTAAAAGCCATTATCGTTATCAAAGTGGCCTGGTTTGTCTTATATTGTAAGCTAATAAACAGATGGGCAGAAGCCCAGAGCATCTCAAATTAGATGGAGACTGGTGGGACAACACTGGGCTAAGCAAAGATAGGCCAGAGGCAGAATGGGTCAGTAAGTGAATGTTAGAAAGTCTGCAGAGATGAAACTGTGGTAGGAAGAGAGATGCTACTACTAACAGCTATCTGCAATGAGCTGCAGCTTAAAACATGTATTTTCATTTTTCTCTTATTTTTGAGGCCTTCACATAAAGTCAGTCCAAGTGTAAGTCCTGTATGTGTGTCTGTATGTGTCTCCTGCCTGTGAGATGTAGAGGGAATTGTGGAAGCTTGTAAGCCCTGCGCTTGAAAAAAGGTCCTAGACATGAAGGAGCAGGAGGTGGCAGAGCTAGCTGGGGCGAGTTAAAGCCAGGCCAAACTTGGCATGGATCTTCCTGCGGATGTTGATTGGAAGTGTTCAGACCCTTGTCTGGGATCCCAAGGCTACTCGGGCTACCCTAGGCTGAGGTATGCTGGAGTGCTGCCAGGGCTGCATAGCCCTGGGGATGGGAATGAGGACAGCATCATATAAACAAAACAAAAATGATTCAGAATTTACCAAGAGCTGAAATAAGATAAAACACAGCAACTTCCACCTGGATGCAGGGAGTGTTATAGGACAATTGTAGGAGTTCAGGAGTATGATGCAGGCAAATGTAAATACAGGAGAAGCAGTAACAGTTTTGAGGTGATAAATAAATGGAGCAGGTCAGATAGTGGCTCTTTGATCCGTACTATGGAGCAATGAAAAATTTCAGTTGGTTTTACCTGAGCTAAGACTAGTTGAATCACACTGTGAACCTGAGCTTAGGCTAAGTTATGGTCTCCTAGTATGGTTCTCCCAAACAGAAACCTTTTTGAGACAAAAGCTTCCTTCTCCCCTATTGACCAGAGATCCTATGGAATGTCAGGAAATACCCAGACCTTTCCTATACAACTGAATCTTGATGACTAACCAAATCAAGGTGTTAATTTATGATCTTGCTAATGTAATGTTTTACTGTACCTGTCCTTGATGTACAAATCTGCTTTTGAAATGTATATTCTAGACTGATGATCTCAGATGAGCTCAAAATCTTGTCAATAAACATATTTGGATAAGGTGTTATGACTCATTAAATAATTGGATGACAGTTTTGGCAGCATTGTGGTTGCACATATCTTTAAGTACATTATTAAAAATAAAACACTGGTTCTGTTAATATACAAATATTTCAGTGGCTACAAGAATACAAAGGTCTTGATTTCTTAATTATTGCTGTAAATAAGGGTGAAAGAGAAATACACCTGGGGCCAGCAGTTTATCTTGCAATTTTATCTGTAAGTACAGCTGCTGGAATAGTTTAATTTGTATAGAACAAATGCATTCAGAAAGAAAAGAGACGGCATTTGCGAGCTGTATAGCCGACAACAAGGAGGCGAGGTCTCCATCAGTTAACAGGAAAAGGCATCATGATAGAAACCTCTGCTTCCATTTCTCTGATATGTTACCAGACCTAAATTAAGCCTTCAGGACAAAATACACACTTACCAGCCTTCCAGAAGATCAAAATCTGAACAACTATATAAAAAGCAAAATAAAATAGTCTGCTTATTTGTTCTCTCTCCCTCTCTCTCTCTCTCTCTTTTTTTTTTTTTTTTTAGAGAGAGACAAGGTCTGGACTAGGTCGGTCTTCTTGTGGCCTTAAAATGGGCCCTTGCCACAGCTGTACGGTCACACTGCTCTATTTAATGAATTGCAGTTGTCAGCGCTTGCAGTCTCACTGGTTCAGAGGTAATAAGCTTTAATCCACAGTGCATTGCCAGGTTGATCCATTTCATCAGCTTTTTGTGAAAGATAAATTTTGCAACAGATTCAAAAAGTCCTTTTGAAATAAGTGATTAAATCTGTCTTAACATGTTTCCACTCCAAGGAATTGTCCGTGATTCCTGAGAGAAAAAAAAAATAGTTTTAATTTACAGTTTTAATTTGGGGAGTAAGTTGTTTTAGTTTTAGGAGAGAAGCAGGATTAAGTAAAATCAAAATTCAGCATTCATCCTGTATGTGAGACAGTGCAAAGACAGTACATTTGACCCTCTTGAGTCATTCAAGACTCATTCTTTGTTCTGAACCAGAAGTCAAAAGAGCTGAGGGCAGGCCAAAAAAAAAAAAACTTGTCAAGATTAAAAC